TCTCACACCAGAAACGAACCTTTCATATGTGTGTGTTGAAGTTCACATTTCAAGTAATAGAATTATCAAATATAATATAGGAATATATACACGCTCACACACATACACTAAAAGACGCTTCACTTGCCTGGCCTTAGTCCATCCGTACACTCCGGTCAATAATAATTTCCCTGGTCCGCGTGTTTGCGATTAACATCGGTTGAATTCAAGCCGACCCAATTAACGAGCGCGGGAGGCAGGTGTTGCAGTTATATGTAGGTGACGTCAAGAGTATGCGCCGAACGGGCTTGTTTGAAGTTTGGTCGAAGAATGCGATTGTAAAGTATGCCGGTCTGGTTCTATCAAGAAATTGATGCCAGAGCAAGAGGACTGCACACCAAAAGTCATTGCTGGCAAAGATTGTGGCGCTTACCCCCACAGGCAACAGAGGAGATGGCTTGGCTAAATGCTAACGACTCCCTCAGGCGCATTACTTCTACGTCATGGTGCTACGTCCCTTAGGACTTCGCTAGTGGGATATCACGTGACCCCAAGGTCACACGCAGAGAGATCAATTATATATAAATCATGCTCAAATCACTAGCGACCTCCTCTATAAAAGACACTGCACAAGGCCGGCCCCCTCTTTCACTTGGCGCCGATTGAGTTCATACGTCTGATGACGATGCTGCCTCGACTGCACGTGCGTTTTCCCCTTTCGCCCCTTACCGGCGTCGGTACGTTCGTCGTTGCTTGGGAGTGTCGGGTCAGGCGCACGCGCACGGACCACATTCACCGCTGTTTCTTGTGCATGGGCTCGGGCAATGCGGCCTGAGAGCGATAGTGCGCCCTAGTGTCTCGCTCTCCCAGAGAGGAGAAGTGAGCGCAGGCTGGGCGTTCCAGGGCTCCAGCACCCGGAAGAACTCAGCGAGACCCGGAGCCGGACCGGTTCCCACTGTGATTCACATGCCCTTTCTCTATCTCTCCACGGCGTCGCAAGATGAACGCTCCTTTCCACCGCCAGTCCGGACCATGCGCGGTGGAGGACTTCACCCCGGTGGGCGCCACCACTCGAGGGAGGAGAAGGAAGCAACCCACGTTGTGCCCGGGATGGACCCGATCCTCCATTACGCGACACGTGAGTGGCCAAAGCCCCTAGCAGCCAAGAGGCCCCTGCTCTGGGGTACGGCATGTACTGCTGCGTGCAGGGACTGGTCCTGGGCCGGTGGTGTGTCCCGGACATCGAGGACTCAGTCCACTTGGCTCTGCTGCCCTCCGCATCCGTGTGGCCCGGCGCCAGACCTCTCCTTCCCTCCAAGCGGGACAGGATGTCTTTGGCTATGCTGGACATATGTTATGCCAACGCGGCCCAGGTCGTCGCCCTGGCTAACAACATGGCCATTTATCACGGGGGCCCTGGATAGGTGGCTCTCCGCTGACCAGGCGCTCAGCAGATGAGACCTCCTGACAGAGGCGAGGACTACCTCCGCGGCTCTCCTGCGCATGAGCCAGGCCTTTGCCGTGGATGGTGGCCGCACCATGGCTGCAGCCCAAGTCGGGGCCAGGCACCTCTGGCTTGGGCTAGCAAACATCAGGGAGGCGGAGAAGAGGCTGTTGGACCTGCCCGTGTCCCAGACGTCCCTGACATGCAGGCCCTGGTGGACAGACTGGAGTCTGCGGCCAAGACTCGGCTAGGCTAGCACCGCACCTAGCTCCGAGGCGCGAGGCCCACCAAGCTGCACGGAGCCTGGACAGAGGCAGAGATCGCTCGTTCAGGAGGTGCTCCGCTCCCTACCCACGCTCCACCATCCATCGATCGTTTCCCTTCGACGAGACTTAAACGCAATGAATGGTCTATTGTATCAAAAGCCTTACTTAGGTCTATAAAGACTCCAACAGAATACTCGCTATTCTCAAAAGATGTTGCTATGTTTTCCACTAGTTCCATGACAGCCATTGAGGTGGACCTATTGGATCTGAATTGGATCTTTCTGAGGGTTCAGAAGATTAATATCAAACTCACCACACACGATGACTTGTTTGAATTACTCGCACTAAAGAGGTTCTCAATTTTCTTGTTGAACTTATCAAGACATGATCCAGGTGTTCTGTACACACAACTAACTACAATATTTTTTACCTTTCTACAATAATTTCACATGTTACACATCATCAATGGTGGTTGACTTACTACCAATCTTTTTACATCTCAGGTCCGTATCTATGCAAAGTCCAACGCCTCCACCCCTTTTTTTAATCCGATTGATAGTGAACAGTTCATATCCATCTAATTCTACTTCACAGCAGCTATCTCCATCTAGCCAAGTCTCAGACACAGCTATGGCGCTGAGTTCTAAATTGACACTCAAATTGAGGTAATAATTAATGTTGTTAAAATGTGTGTTCAAACTCCTACTATTAAAGTGTATAATGCTAAAGAATCCATTCATATTAATGCATTTAAATTGTTCGTCAGTATAGACATCAGAATCATTCATTATATTGTTAAACAAATGCATATCCTGGTCTATGTCAAGGCCAAACTCATTTGTTTTGTAATTCATTTCATCGCGCAGATTAAAGCTGCACTAACTGACTTCATTTTCGTATTAATTACGAAAATGCTATCCATGTCCATGTAGTGCATTGGGATATACGTCATTTTGAAGAAAAAGTAGCGCAGATTTGTGCTGGCCTGACATTATATTTTCGATCGAGTTTTGATGAAACAAGGAAGAGAATGTGTTTTGGGTCGCAGATTGTGACCAATCACAGCGCACCACTAGCCCCCACTTTCGTGAGAAATCTCCAGGTCCGTTAGCACAGACAGCTGAGTTAGCACAACAAGCGGCGGAGCTAACCTGAAACTTTCTCGTCTTCGTCACCGGGTACTGCTTACACAGCGAAACAGCCATCCAAAAGAAAGTCCCGTTCCTCCACGCTTCCCGGTTCTATCGTTCTATGGTCACGCCATCCACGTGAAAATCCATATCCATGTATTATCCATATTGGGAGAGGCTAGCTCCGTCTCAACACTGTGTGTGTGTGGGGGGCGATAGCTTCGTGGGTGCGGGGAGGGGAGCAGAAAGAGCGAGGCCAGCGAGTCCGCGGCTTCAAAATCCCAAAGTCAGTTAGTGCAGCTTTAATGTCTTCACTACTACTCATAAATTCTACATCATTGTTGTCAGTTTTAACTTCACTCAATTCATCCTCACTGTCATACATTTGTTTTTTGTTTTGCCATACACACACATTCTATACCTTCGTGCACAATCAAACAAGGAGTCTCTCACGCACACTAAGCACCCATTCACGCACATGCACGCAGGGCACACACATATACAGTGTACACATGCACATTTATGCACAGGCAACAAATAAATAATCACGCACACGCGCAAACCCAACACACAGTCGGACGCACGCCGAAGACTACTGTCTACAAGGTGATTTCCCGTCCAGCGAAAGGTCCCTATGTCCCCAGTCCTCTCCGGTCCAGAGTCCAAAGTCCTAGTAATCAAAATATCCACATCCACTTGTTGAGTCCACTGAATATTATTCGCGTAACCACCGAGAGGAGGAAAGAGGTGATTATTCATTATATACTGCTAAATAAGTTGAAAAACATCCCAAAACTTAAATACTCCATCCACCGCAGTCCATTAAAAATACAATAAAATGAAAATAAATAAATAAATAAAATAAAAAGTATAAAATCTCAATCTTGAAAATAATACTACCCTGCGTACTTTTAATGTTGTTTTATGTCTGTAATTGTCTGTGCACACTGGTGACTTTTTGCTAATGTATACCAATGTGTTTTTTTTTACTGCAAATGGCAAATAAACTGAATCTGAATCTGATCTAATAATAATAAAAAAAGTGTAAAAGTTTCACATTTGGCAAAATAAGAGGCAAGTATAAAGTACTGTGTATTTTAGTGCAAGCAATGTGTTGGCATCTGTACATTAGCAGCAGTATGTTTACATCTGTACATTAGCAGCAGTATGTTTACATCTGTACATTGGCAGCATGAGGCTCTGGGACACTGACTCAGTAAAGTGACAGTGACATGTGGTTATTGCACATTCTGATATTAGTCAGAAGCTGAGTCCGATGATGGCAGAGTCGTCAGAGAACTTCTGTTGTGTCTGAAGTCCGCAGTGTAGAGGGTGAAGAGCAATGGCACGAGGACTGTCCCCTGGGGGGCCCCCACACTGCAGGTTAGGACCTCAGACACAAAGTCCCTGGTTCTCAAAAACTGGGGTCTGTCTGTTAGGTAGTCCAGGATCCACTCAGACAGGTCGTAGTCCACTCCAGCTGTCTCCAGCTTGTCCCTGAGAAGCTGCGGCTGGATGGTGTTGAAGGTGCTGGAGAAGTCGAAGAATAGAATCCTCACAGCGGAGCCGGGTTACTCTAGGTGGGACAGCGCGCGATGGAGGAGGGAGATAACAGCATCCTCAACTCTCAAGGACCAGTCTCTCCAGTGTCTTCATGCAATGGGGTGTCAAAGCCATCGGCCTGAAGTCGCTGAGGTCTTTGGCCTGTCTTGTCTTGGGCACTGGTACCACACAGGAGGTCTTCCAGAGGTGTGGTACCGACCTCAGCCTGAGGTTCAGGTTGAAGACGTGCTCCACCACTCCACAGAGTTCATCTGCACAGGAGCGAAGGAGCCTGGAGCTGATGTTGTCTGGTCCGCAGGCCTTCCCTGGCTTGATTTCAAGCAGTTCCATTCTGACCTGTGCGGCAGTGGATGACAGGGGTGGGGGTGGAGGCTGGGGCTGCGGGCTGCGGGCTGGTGGTGGGAGAGAGCTGAGAGGCGTGGGCCATGGTGTGAACGACCGTGTCTGGGGGGCATTCTTCTCCAACAGGGGTGGGCAGCAGCAGAGCAGGGAGTGGGGTGGGTTGTTGATTGAACCGCAGGTAAAAAGTGTTAAAGTTGTTTACCCATTGTCTGTCCCCAACCTACAGAACAGGCTTTGGTTTGAATCCTGAGATGGCCTTCAGATTTTCCCAAACACCTTTGATGTTCTGTTTGCTGAGCTGCGCTTCCATTTGGCCCCTGTATCGAGCTTTGGTCTCCCTCACTGACGTCCTCAGATTTCTCTGAACGTCTCTCAGCTCCTCTTCGTTCCCAGATCGAAAAGCGTGCCTCTTTGCCTTCAGCAGAGTCTTTATGTCGGAATTAATCCACGGCTTGTTGTTGGCAAAGCACAGCAGGTTCCGGGTAACCGAAGTGTTCTGGAAGCAAAAGTTTATGTAACCCGTGATGCACTCCGTCATGCCATGAATGTCCTGCCCATGGGGGTCGCAGAGCTCGTCCCAGAGGGCACTTTCAAAGCAATCTCGGACGGCCTCGACAGTGTCTGTATTCCATGTTCATATCAAGCGCCTCACCACTGTAAATACCTGGAAGCTGGCATCGCGGTATTCCCGCTAGCTCGTCAGTCTTATTGGAGAGGGACCTCACATTCCTGGTGATCACAGCAGGCACCGCAGGTCTGGATCTCTTTTGCCCTCGTACCTTCCATCACGCGCGGCAGCGTCTGGGTGTTTTCCGTATCCTTAGGAATAGTTTGATTATCCCCCGCAAAAAAAAACATGCGGTGGGACCTCTCGTGGAACCCGCTGCGTACTGCCCAAGAGCCCGTTCCCACAGATAAGCGCGTTGCCGTCTATAAACTGGCTACATGTGGACAGGGCAGTGTGATATTTGGGGTGAGCAAGACCACAGTTCATGGGGTGTGGAAGGCTTTACGCACAAAACTAATGAAAATATACATTGCTTTGCCAGATGTGGATGAGGCAAAACAAATAGCCATGCTTAATTATGCAGCGCAGGGCCTGCCACAGATTTACGGAGCAATAGATGGGTCACATCCCTGTAAGTAGTACTAGAATTTAAAGTAGTACTAGAATTTAATATGCTGCTATCCAGAATATATAACTACAATATGTGTTTATAATATTTCGGGTGTTCATTTTGACATGTTTAGATGAATTATGTTAAAAAAACGGCTTTCAAGTGGCACCTTTATAAAAACGCTAGGGGGAGCCAAAATGGCGGCGATGACGTAGGAGGAGGGCATCTCACAGCAGCAGACAGCAGTCTGGTTGGAAACTTTAGGAGGTTTCACTGTCATCTGAACAAGGTATAAACATATTTTCATCCGTTTTGTACATAATAGTGTGCAACTCTTTTAATCTTTTAGCCTTATTTGTGAGATTCAAGCTAATTAGTGTTGGGCAAGTTAGCTAACTCTACTTGATATCATAAAACATGCTAACAAGGCTAATATTCGTTTTTACATTATGCCAGGCTCACTCTGGTTGCCTTGAATTTATTTACCACAATGTACATTGTAATATTCAAAAATGCTAATCAAAATAACTTTAATTAAATAAATATTTTACTTTTATGAACAAAAAGCTGCAGAAGTTGAAAACATAGACTACATGTGATGCAATCATTGATAAAAATGCTAATTAAACCGTTAATAGGTGTTAGCATTTATGGATATTACAATGTACATTGTGGTAAATAAATCTAAGGCAACCAGAGTGAGCCTGGCATAATGTAAAAACGAATATTAGCCTTGTTAGCATGTTTTATGATATCAAGTAGAGTTAGCTAACTTGCCCAACACTAATTAGCTTGAATCTCACAAATAAGGCTAAAAGGTTAAAAGAGTTGCACACTATTATGTACAAAACGGATGAAAATATGTTTATACCTTGTTCAGATGACAGTGAAACCTCCTACAGTTTCCAACCAGACTGCTGTCTGCTGCTGTGAGATGCCCTCCTCCTACGTCATCGCCGCCATTTTGGCCCCCCCTAGCGTTTCTATGCGGAAGCGAAAAAGTGCCACTTGAAAGCCGTTTTTTTAACATAATTCATCTGAACATGTCAAAATGAACACCCAAAATATTATAAACACATATTGTAGTTATATATTCTGGATAGCAGCATATTAAATTCTAGCACTACTTTAAGTAAGTTAGTAAGTAAGTAAAGTTAACCTGTAAAGCGCCTTTCAGAGACCATGATCAAGGAGCGCTTCACGTTTTTAAAAAAACATACAGATACAAATAACACACATAAGTCAGATTTAAAAACAAAGAAACAGAAAACGGTCCTGGTCATGAACTGTGATTTATTCGAAGTTTGCGTGTTTACATTTGACATTTTTTGATGCACAAAAAAAAAATTCTAAATTTGATGCTCAATGGAAACGCAGCTTATAATTTTGCCAGAGTGGGTAAATGTTTATTGTTGTCAAATCTTGAATTTTCTGCATGTATTTGCGTGTTTGATGAAGATTTGAGCTACCTCCCGACTCGCTAAAAAGTGTAAATGTTTTCCGTATACCTGATTTACACCCTGATTTGGTCGTATACGCTACATAAATGAGGGCCAATACCTTCATACAGTAAAACATCAACATTTCCACAGCTGCGAAGATGAGCTGTCCCTTTTTAAATCTGGCCTCCTAACCTGATATACAACATCATATAGTGCTAGTAAAACCTGACAGTTACCTTTATTTAAAGTCAGTAGAAAATTTGTGTTTCACTACTTGCTAATAATGTAGCCACAGCTGCCCTGGAGCACACTGACAGAAGGGAGTACATATCATAGACCGCTCTGACCACCATCAACGCAGAAATGTTGTATGTTGTTTGAAAGTTCAAAAACAAAGTCACCTTTGGTTGGCTGCAACGTATCAAACTGTGGTTGTGTCCTAAGGCAAGACACTTCCCCCACAATGAAACCGGTGTGTGTGTGCGTGTGACACAGACTGGTTGATTGAAACGATTGGATCTGAGTTCACGTGACGTAATTAATAGTTACGTATGTAACTTAAGTTCTACGAATAGTCCCAGGACGCCTCTCCCAAGAGCTCCTAAACCAGGGCGGACAAGTCAACCGTAGACCCCCTCAGAAGAGGAACCTCACGGTTTCAACTCAATCCGTTGCACTAAGCACGGAATGGGCCACCGACCGGTCCGACACATCCAAAAAGGTAAGACCCGACGAAAGAGGAGGACGAAGCCCAAGAAGGCGCACGGCACACGTCCTCGACCAAAGCCCCCCTGAGGAGGGCTGTAGAGGCCGCCACCCCACGCGTGGAGTGCGACCTCAGTACGCCCGCCGCACAGCCGTGGCGACCCAGTGCGCCAGCCCCTGAGACGACAGCGGGGCGCCCCTGTTCTTGGGGCCCAGACACACAAACAGCTGATCAACCAACCTGAAGGAAGATGTCATGGCCTCGACCTGTCATCACTCTCGACCTGAAGGCCGAAGTGATGACCTTAGGGAGAAAAGCCAGATTGGGCCACAACTCCACCAGTCCGTCACCCTCTCCAAAGGACAGGCAAGACGCATGGACGGAGAGCGCACACAAGTCGCCCGCCCTCTTAGCAGACGCCAACGCCAGCAAGAGGGCAGTCTTAAAAGCCACACACTCGGGACTCGCCTCCGACACCGGTTCAAAAGGCGGGCCCGACAAACCCCTAAGGACCACCCTGAGGTCCCATACCGGGGGCGTTCTCTGAAGCGGGGGCCTCCTCCTGCGGGCCCCCCGCAAAAAGCGTTTGACCAACGGATGAGAACGGGACGTGAACCCCCCGAAACCGCCGTGACCCCGGCTCGTCCGGGAGGGCCCAAGGCTTCATCACCGCCATGCCCCTCAGGAAAGGGAACCACCGGGCATGTGGACTGTCCGGAGCCACCAGGACCACCGACCTTCCCTCCTGTTCGATCCTCCGCAGCAGGACCGCAGGACGACGGGAACGCACAGCAGCCCCGGCCAGGGTAGAGCCAGGCGCACCCTGGGGTTCGCGGCCTAAGGCGAACAGAGGCACTGGCTCTGCACGGCGAAGGTCGCCACGGCCAATCTCCGCCAGACCTCTGCAGCTATCCGCGGGGCCAGGCCCCACTCGTCCTGGAGTGGGCCCCCCCTGGACATCCTGTCGGCACCCACGTTCCGGGCACCCGGGACATGGCGCGCCCTCAGGGACAGGAGGTGAAGCACCGCCCACAGCAGCATCACCGTCGCCATGCGATGGAGAGCGGGGGATCTGGTGCCTCCCTGTCTGTTCCGATAAGACACCACCGTGGTGTTGTCTGAGCGAACCATCACGTGTCTCCCCTGCAGCTGAAGAGCAAGTGCAGCAGCACTCTGTGTGCTGCCACCATCTCCAGAAGGTTGATGTGGCGGGCTGAGTCCGACCAGCAGCCTCCTACGGAGCTCTGACCGAGGACCCCGCCCCAACCCTCGAGTGATGCATCCGTGAATACCTCCACGTGAGACATGGCGCAGACCAGAGTCACTCAGTCCCGCAATAGACCCGGAGTGAGCCAGAACCTGATGTCCGACACTGCAGTTTGGGGAACCCAGATCAGCCTCCCCCCCGTCCCGGGTGAAGCCTGAGGCGTGAGAACCATCTCTGAAAGTTCCTCATGTGGAGGAGAACTAGCCGCACCACAGCATGAGCCGCCACCATCATCCCCAGCAGGGACCTGAGGCGCCGAGCGGGGACCCTGGGGCCCGCTAGCACCTCCCTGGCTAGACGGGTAATGTTCCTCCGTCTGTCCTCGGACAATGCAGCACGGAACGTCACAGAGTCTAGCTGCAGGCCGAGATAGATCATGCGCTGAGCCGTTGCAGCCAGCTCTTTTCCCTGTCCACCACAAAGCCCAGACGCTGTATGTGGGAAAGGACCCAGTGCGTGTGACTCACGGCCACTTCCCCGGACGAGGCCAGTATCAACCAATCGTCTATATAGGTTAATATTCTTACCCCCGCGCGTCTGAGCGGCTCCAGTGCCGCCTCCACGCACTTTGAGAAAGTCCGAGGTGCGAGCGCGTAACCGAAGGGGAGACGGCAGTACTCGTAACTCCTCTCTCCCACTGCGAAGCGCAGGAACGTCCTGTGTTCCGGAACTATCGCCACGTGATAATAAGCGTCTGTCCGAAACTGACTCTTGGAAATGCACTCGTTCAAAGTGCGCAGATCCAGAATGGGACGCACCCCTCCTGACTTCTTTGGCACTAAGAAGTTGGGGGAGTAGAGCCCCCTGGTGGCGTCCTGTGGGTCTACCTCTACTGCTGCGCCTCGACTTAGCAGAGAGGAGACCTCCACTTGCAGTGCCACTAATGATCCCCGTACCTGAAAGCGTGCTGCCCGCACGCCCCGGGATGGCGGTGGTTTTTGGGAGAATTGCAATGCGTAGCCTCTACGCGTGGTTTTCTCCAGCCACGGATCCGACAGTAGGCCTTGCTCCCTCCAGATGCTGTAGAAGTCTGTGAGGCGCGGAACGGGAACTGGAACACGAGACGTCACAGCCCCGCCCTCTCCTGG